ACCACCACCGCCGTCAACGTCCACCACCACCCTCCACCACCACCACAATCGTCCATACACCACCACCGTACACTACTATCATTAATTTATATAGCAATCTACAGACATTAAAAAACAAACAGTTTTCTTCTTGCAGACCGCAGACCTTCGGTCCACCACTTCTCCTGCAGATGTCTACAGTAGTGGTCCGCAGACTGCAGACCTTTTCTTGCAGAAAAAACAAACACCCCCTTAATGTCTTTTCATTGTCTTGTTAGCACTTCCTTTAGTTTTCATGAAATCAAAGTGAGAAATTCTCTTTGAGATGGTTGGAGAATATGGTCTGTACTCCGAATGTTTCTTGTTCAAACTAGAAACTGATGAAACAATAATAAAAAATTTGAAATAAATATAATCAAGAAATCATAGGTGCAATGCCAAACAGGTCCTTTGATGCATCATAATCACAAAGAACCCCCTTCTTTGTGAGAGTTATATAAAAATTATAGTTATTTTGGAGTCAGTTGAAAAATCCTTTTTTAACTATTCAAAAATATTTTTTGAATCAATTACAAAACGTGTGTCAACATTTCTTAAAATATCTTTTTAAGATATACATTTTTTTGTTAAGAAAAAATATGTTTTAAATATTTTTCGTATACATCGTTTGACACATAAAATGTTTTTGTGGCTCTTTTCTACACCAAAAATTCCTTTCTTTTATTCAGATTTATTTTTGAATAATGTTTGGAAGTGATGGGGAGCCTCTCCATTGATTTCCTAGTTGGAAACAAATCCTAAATGCCAAAAATTCTTTTCATCTCGCCCACATGCTTGTGGTCTACATATTTAGGTATTATTTTGTCAATTGATCGATCCCCTGCGTTGGATTGATCACAAGACATTTTCTTGTGCGCAAACTTTCTTTCGTGTGATCGATCATCTGGGCTAAATCGATCACACGAACTCTTGTTCATAATTTTGCCTAAAATCTTAAACCATGGTGATCGATCACCTGAGCTGAAATCTGTCAAAAATATTTAATTTCTTCCCCAACGGATTTATTCCTTCCATCTCTATAAAATTTATCTTCCTCCCCATCATAGGCACTTGAAACACTCTAAAAACACCTCTTTTTTGTGGTCTTAATCCTCCATCAATTCCTTCCTCAAATATAAGTTATTTTGAGAGAAACTATTTGTTTTCAAGAGAGTGTTCTTGTCATCCATAGAGCTTAATTATTTTCTCATTTCTACTCTTGTGAAAGGTTTGTTGTGAGGTTGAAGAAGTTTACTCTTTTTGTTGTACAAGACTTATGTGACTGAAATCTTGAGGTGAAGTCTTGTAGAGGGCACATCTACGAGCGATTGTGTTGAGACTTGTGGGATTCAAGTTCTCGAGTTTTAAACGGTTTGCAAGCACCCGTTGAAGCTTGATAAGTAGTGGTAGCTTTGAGAGAGTCTCTTTTATTTCTCGGAGACTGCACTAGTCACGAGGTGGTTAACCAGTATACATCGGTGTTTGCCTTCTCTCTTTTATTTCCGCTGCAGACACTCAATTATTTTTATTTACGCACTTACGCTACGAAAAACGGTAAACATTCTCAACAACTCTATTCACCCCCCCTCTAGAGTTGCACACATTGTCTAACACCTTACTTATGTTATCTATATGTTTTAATGAATATTAATTCATAAAGGGGGTTAAGAGTTAAGGAAAATTAAAAAAATTAATTTGTAGGTGCTACGACACGCCTTTCACCTATGACACTCCTTTGTCGTCTAGTCCCTATCGCTGGCCGTTAGAACCTTATGGTTGCACATCTGTCGGGGTGCTGGTTCATGTGCCTGCAGTTGGGCACCCACCTACCGGTCTTCTTGCCCAGCCAGTAGGTCCGCCTCGATGACACCGAGTCGATTGATCCACCTCGGCGGTACCGAGCCAAGGTCATTGTTTGGCCTCACGAGGGTGCCCTCCCGGGGGGCGATCGCGAGCCAGTGTGGGACCATCTGACGGCGTGGAGTCAACTTCCATAACTGATATCCAAAGAATTTGAGATTGAGGGGTTGTTTCTTTGTGCAGGTTATTGTTGATAAACATTTTATAACATATAAGCTGGTAATAAGTCAAATATTCTTTTATGAAAGTATGATGACTTAGGTAGAGAAATTATTTATAAATATTCATAAATGGTGAGGAACAGTTTTGTAAACAATCGAGTCAAAACAGAAAAATGAAAAAACAAGTTTAAAAATAAGTAGCAAAGATCTGCTTGTTGTTTTGACTTATAAGCAGTTTATAAGCATACAGAAGCATGTCATCATCTGACTTGTACTCCCTCTGTTCCGAAATGTAAGCAACAGTTACTATTTTGGTCTCTCAATAACTTTTGTTTGTTTACTCGTTTTGGTTGACCATTTGATAAAATTAAATATTTTTTTCGGCTCTTGTTTTGTAGAATTCTGTATTTTACTTTTGAACGGTGTACTTTTTACTTTTTATATCTCTACCAATTTATAAATAAAATACTCCCTCCGTCCCAAATTATTTGTCACATTTCTATTACCGAGACAAAATATCAAGTTTTTTCAATTCATTTTATTTACATATTGGTAAAGAAATAAAAAAAATAAAAATTACATATAAAAAAACTACATGAAAAGTTCTTCAAAATAAGAGGTGTCAAGAATATTTTATTTTATCAAATAACCAATGAAAACGTAGAAATAAACAAAAGTTCCCGCGACTGCTGAAAAAGCAAATGTTGTGAATATTTTGGGACGGAGGGAGTAATTTTAAAAGAGATGATATTTTACATTTTTTTGAAATTTGGCTTATATTTTAGGATGGAAATAGTAAATTAAAAACTACTTATAAATAATTTTGATTAACTTATAAATACAAAAAGAGAGAAGTACTGTCATAGCACTGATATATGCTTAAAATACCCAATATAGCACTGCTATGAGATATTGGAAGTTGTGTAGATGCAATTCGAAATTTGTCCTTGCATTCCACACTGCCAAAAAATGTATTTAAGTTGGTATATACTTCCAGAACATGGGCATAACACACTGCCATCATACCCAATATAACATTCATCCACACTGTCAAAACATGATCATTCCACACTCCCAAAAAATATATTTTAGTTGGTATACACTTTCAGAACATGGGCACAACGCACTGCCAGAAAGTGTAGTTAAGTATTGTGAACCATAACACACTGCCATGGACATAACACACTATTAGAAAGTATAGGCATCACATGACCATTCCACACTGCCAAAAAAGTTGATATACACTTCCAATTTCGTTTATTAATTGTGTTTAAGTTGTGAGAAGTGACACGACAATTCTAAGTGTTACGTACAATTAATGGGAATAACCTCTTAAAATTATGGATCTTAATAAACATGGTAAATGAAATAATTAAAATATTGCATTATAATAAAAGGATATGATTGGATGAGATCTACGGAGTACATCATAAGTAGTCAAATGTGTGAAAAATAATAAGGAATGTTATATGTGTAATATTGCGTGTTTTAGAGTGCTACATAGGATGTTTTCTAAATGCAAAATATCTCAATATGCAATGTGATTTTTTTATGAAATGTTAGGAATGAGTAATGCTAGAGTCACAAACAAACAGTTTACAAGATTCATAAACTTGCTTTTTTTAACATTTTTCTAAAAATAAGATGCACTTAAATAATAAAAAATATTTTAATTTAAAATCTACAAAAGACAAGTTTGTGAAAGTTTGTGAACTATACGTTTGTGACTCTACCATTTTTCGCTTAAAAAGAGTAATGCTAGAGCCACAAAGAAACAGTTCACAAAATTCACAAACTTGCCTTTTTAATATTTTTCTAAAAATAAGATGCATTTGAATAATAAAAACTATTTTAATTTAAATCTAGAAAAGACAAATTTTTAAAGTTTGTGAAATACTCCGTATAAGTTTGTGACTCTGGCATTTTTTGGCTTAAAAATAGGACAGGAGTATCAGATTGTAAGCCCTACTGTCAGTTCTTTGGAGAATGAAAAGCAAGAGTATTGCTTTCTAGTAGAAGAAATTCTTCATCCACCCCCATGGCCATGGCCATGGCCACAGCCACCCTTACTGCTTCTTGCTCTTCTCATCCGTGGACTCCCAAAAAGCTCTCACTTCCATCCCCATCTCGTTCTTACCAAACTTCAAAACATTCTCCACTTGCCCCCAAGCTCCATTCCACGTCTTTGCTTTTATCCTCCACAAAAAGATCCAATTTTCATCAATTTCATGTCAAATCCGAGAACAAAGATGAGCCCACTTCACCTCCCGTGGCTGTAGCTAAAGAAGGCTCTGGAAATGGGGAAACCGCGAAGAAAGACTTGCAATTGGACGGGGAACTGCATATGGAAGAGGGCGGGGAATCTGAAACCGAGAAGATAGAGAAAGAGAAGCGGCAAGAAATGGACTGGAAGAGTGATGAGGAGTTCAAGAAATTCATGGGCAATCCTTCAATTGAGGCTGCTATAAAACTGGAGAAGAAAAGGGCGGATATGAAATTGAAAGAGCTTGATAGAGAGTCCACTAGCAACCCAATCGTTGGGTTAATCAATAGGCTGCTTCGCGACAATCTGTCGAGAGAAAAAGAGAGGCTGGAGAAAGCCGAGGAAGCTTTCAAGGCACTCGATCTGAACAAGGTTCCTATAAGTTCTGTCATTTGAGATATCATATTCACATCTGGGATTAACTACGAATAGAATGACTTTATTGTGTCACTGAACTTTGAATGGCAGTTAAAGAGCTGCTTTGGGTTTGATACATTTTTCGCAACAGATGTTAGGAGGTTTGGAGATGGAGGGATCTTTATTGGAAATTTGAGAAAACCCATTGAAGAAGTAATACCCAAGCTGGAGGAGAAGCTGTCCAGAGCTGCTGGAAGGGATGTTGTTTTGTGGTTTATGGAGGAAAGAACGGACGACATTACTAAACAGGTAGGGTATCCGATCCTGTCTGTTGATTTCGAATACGATTTTGTGACATTATGGCTTTACTTAGATTTCAGCAAACATATTTCTCTGTCTGCATATAGAATGCTTTTTTCTTATGTTTAAAGTAATGTGTCTTGGTGATTGCTATTTCTCAAGGCTTGTGTGGTGCAACCCAAGTTGGAGATGGACCTTCAATTCGAGTCTACCAAGTTAAGCACTCCTTGGGGCTATGCTAGTGCAATAGCCCTATGCATTACAACCTTTGGGACAATAGCTTTGACAAGCGGCTTCTTCCTCAAGCCTGATGCTACAATTGATGACTACTTGGCTAATGTGGTTCCTCTCTTCGCTGGCTTCTTAACCATATTGGGAGTTTCAGAGGTATGCAGAAAGCAAATGAAACATTAAACACGAATGGACGAAGTATATTGTACTCCGTATATATAAACCTTTTGTGTGCATTTTGCCTAAGCTCTTCAAAGAACAGACTTTACTTTTGCTTTGAATCAAGCTTTCTTTTTTATCTTTTAATTGGAAATGTGATTTGTGTTTCATGGGTGGTGTTTCCTTTGGTATGGTTACAGATTACGACAAGAGTGGTGGCAAATCAGTATGGCGTCAAGCTGAGTCCATCTTTTCTAGTTCCATCCAATTGGACAGGATGCCTTGGTGTTATGAACAACTACGAGTCTATCCTCCCAAATAAGAAGGCCTTATTTGACATCCCAGTAGCTAGGACCGCTAGTGCATACGTCACATCACTACTGCTCGTAATTGCTGCTTTTATGTCTGACGGAAGCTTTAATGGCGGTGACAATGCAATGTAGATTACCTAATACTCCCTCCACCTCATACTATCCATTATGACTTCCTTGCTACACTGAGAAATGAATGATTTTAGACATACGTTATGCTACATTCATTCATTTTTCAATGTACCAAGAAAATTTTACCTTAATAGACAGTTAATATGAGATAGAGGGAGCATACCTTAACGACACTGTCATAGACTCCTTAACGAACTGCTCTGCCTTTTCACTTCACATTCATTCTACTCATTTGCAGGTACATAAGACCTCAGTTTTTCTACAACAATCCGCTGTTCGCTTTTATCCAATACGTTATTGGCCCATATGCTGATGATCTGGGAAATGTATTGCCCTATGCAGTTAAGGGTGTGGGAGTTCCAGTTGATCCCCTTGCTTTTGCTGGTCTCTTAGGTACGTTTGTACGGACTACAGAGTACATTTTTAGAACCAAGCTCTTGCATCTATCATGTTCACTAGGCCACATATTTGCTTTGCAGGGATGGTTGTTACATCTCTGAATCTATTGCCGTGTGGAAGGCTTGAGGGGGGCCGGATTGCACAGGCCGTGTTTGGACGAAGCACGGCGACTTCATTGTCCTTTGCAACTTCGCTCCTCCTTGGAATCGGCGGTCTCAGTGGAAGCACGGTGTGTTTGGCGTGGGGTCTCTTTGCGACCTTCTTCCGGGGCGGAGAAGAGATCCCCGCGCAAGATGAGATCACTCCGTTAGGAAATGAGAGGTTTGCTTGGGGCTGCGTGCTTTTCTTGATGTGTTTCCTTACTCTTTTCCCCAATGTGGGAGGTACATTCTCTAGCTCTTATTTTGGTTCTCCATACTTTAGGGGAGAATTGTAAGTTATGTGTAATTAATTACTAGGTTGAGTAACATTTATCTAAGGCCTATGGATTGCAAATAAGCAATCTTTCTAGAGCAATATACGTTTATTCGACTAGGTTCAAGGGCCTATGTAATAGGATGACATCCGTCCATCTGAGCTCCATTTGACCCCAAAACGGTTCCTCTCCCCTAACCCCCTAACTCCTCCCTCCCAACCACCGTCAATTGGACCTCTAATTTTTGTTGACATTGAGGGTGTATAGGTTGGGTAGAAATCACTTCGGAGTGAAACAGAGCACCATAGGGTGCTCAAATGCACCGGTGTGATCCTATGACACCGGCTCTTGGCATGGCTAGGAGGACGATAGTGGGGGAGTGGACTTATAGGGCAATGGGTATGACACTAGCCCTTGGCATGCCTCAAATTAGTGGTGTCGGCAATTCAAATCGAATAAAAATTCATGCATGCATGCACACACACACATACATACATACTTACATACTTATATATATATATATAATTTTTTAGAATATAAAGTGACAATTATTCGTGTAATTAGTTTTTAATCGAATAAAAATTCATGATTATTAAAATATAAATTGTTACATACTTGTGGTCCTCCAATATAACTTCTATCATTTGCTCTGGTGCTTGTTTTATCATAGGTGTTTTTGGTGGGCTTCGACCAACAAATTTCTCAGTTATATTTGAAAGTATTGAATTATAAGAGAGAGGTATTGTGTATACATTATAAATATGAGTAAGTAATTAAATTATAATAATCTAAGTGGTGCTTACCCATTAACATCACATTGTCACCAAAAATCATTTTCTAAATTTCTTCAAATCCCATAAACTTGTAACGAAAATTTGGGAATCTGTTTCCTGAAATCTCTTGAAGTTTTGTCCTTCCAAAGAACTGTAGCATAAAAGGGTGGTTGGCAGTTTTCGTTGTTTGGTAATTGCGTATTACTTTGACTCTCATCAGTAAATAAACACTATCTTCTTTTAATTTTTCTTTGAAATTGCATATATTTGAATCTCTGATTTGTGCATGTATTCGATCTCCCTGACAATGCAAATGAAAAAAGTACATATTAGCATCATTACAACGTTGTCAATGTATATGTATTTTAGGTTAATTTTAATGAAACAACTAACATCTGAATCATGGAAAATTACATCCAAAGATTCGGGTTCCTTAGCATAGACAGAGACATGATAAACTCTTATGGCTATTAATTTAAGCATCAAAACTGAGAACCTCTTATCAATATTTTTTTACAGCCGTTAACAACTCCATGTTACTCCAAAGGTAGAATTGAGCAATTATGTTATACTCCCTCCGTCCCCCATAGATCTTCCCAATAGCCTTTTTTTTTGTCCACAATAGATCTTCTCATTTCGTTTTTTAACAATTAAAATACCACAACTACCCCCACTTACTTTATTTATTACACCTCACCCACATCATTTAATACACTCTACCCATTTTTCATTAAGGGTATTATTGTAAACTTTCACATTTTTTCAACTCTCCTTAAAAACCACCAAAAGTCAAAATGAGAACATCTTAGGGGGACGGAGGGAGTATATAATTTATATAATATAATAAGAACGTAATAAGAACGTTAAAACTCAAAACGCAATTCAAAGAAGTAATTATGAGAAGAGTTTGAGAATGTCCATATTTATAGTAGGAAAAACTTAATCTTTTTCTATTTCGGATTTTGTAAGTTTTTTATTTTGGGAATCAGTCTAGTCAGCTTAGCCTTTTAACAAAATGGGAACTTATTGGTACGTTATATATATATATATATATATATATATATATATATATATATATATATATATATATATATATATATATATATATATATATATATATATATATATATATATATATATATATATATATATATATATATATATATATATATATATATATATAGACACACACATACAGACATACATACATACATATATATATATATATACATATAGATATATACATATATATATATATATATATATATATATATATATATATATATAGGGTGCGGTTCAGATTGCATCATGCACTCAGATTTTGAGATAGTGCATTTTTAAAGGATTTTGGTGCATTTTGACATGATGCATTTTTAAATCATTTTGGTGTACCTAATTTCGATGCAATCCTGACCCTTAGATCTCACAATCTAAAGCACCAGATTCATTCTTATTTCTTTCATAAGATCGCATTCTCACTTGAAACAATATATATATATATATATATATATATATATATATATATATATATATATATATATATGGGATTGACTCTAGTGAGATGACACATTATGGTGAGATGAAATGCTTTGGTGAGATGACGCAAAGCTCACCACACTACATTACAAAGCTCACCAATGGACAATGCAAAGCTCACCTAAAAATAAAGTAAAGCTCACCACTTTGAACACCAAAACTCACCTTTTTTTAAATTTTAAATATTTAAAATTAATTAAAAATAAAATAGCAACACCGGTCAACCATCGTTCAGCGGCGGCGGTTTCCGGCGACTGGCGGCGGGGCGGCGGCAGATTCCGGTGACCGGCGGCGGATTCCGAAGACCGGAGGTGGGAGCAGATTCCGGCGACCGGCGGGCGGTGGCGGATTCCGGTGGCCGGCGGCGGCGGCAGATTCCGGCGACCGGCGGTGTCTGGTGGCGGCAGGTGGCAGTCAAAGGTCTCGGTCAACGGTTAAAGTCCAGTCAGCACCTCTTTCTTTGATTTTATTTATTTTAAAAAAATTCAAAGTGTTGAAAAAATATGGTGAGCTTTGCCATACAATTTGGTGAGCTTTGTAGTTGTCCTTGGTGAGCTTTGCAGTTGGTAGTGGTGAGCTTTGCATCATCTGAACGTAGGATGTCATCTCACCGTAAGGTGTCATATCACTGGAGTCAATCCCATATATATATATATATATATATATATATATATATATATAGGTTCTGGTGAGAAGGAGATCTTACGAAACAAATAAGAATGAATAATAACCTTCGGATCTATGTCTTCATTCGTCAAATGCTAAAGGGCTTAAATGTATTTTTGCCCATCCACTATCTCCAATCGGATCATCATATCCGGATTATTTGCGGTCAAATCAACGATGCTCTCTCTCCTTATAGGAATGGCAATCTATTCCTTCCGTATGTTCTCTTCCGATCTTTCTCCTACAGGAATTCCTTCGGATCTTGTTTAAACTCATATTCATCGGTCAATCATCATCTATGGATTAAGGTTTGTTTTATGAGATTCTTCAATATCACGATATTAACCGTCCTCTTCATATTCATTGGAGTTTTATTCCTTTCAAGTTATATCAATATTCTCTTAATCGAGAATTGTATATTATCTTGATGTTTCATATTCATTCACGATTCAGATGATACCTGCGTGACATGTTGCTTTAATTTATTGTTGAAGTTTTGTCAATTTTTTTGCTTCACTTCTTAGAATGCAGAATCCGGGCTAAAACATGCATCACAGAGATTTCCAAATGCACCGTGAGATGTTGCATTATTATCAAAGTTTAATGAACCTGTAGCAGTTTCTCTTATTGCAAGGTATATGGAAAAAAGGATCAGTTTCCAATTGTTTTAGCACGTGGTTTCTAGAGCTTAATTAACACCTCTTTTTGAGTCCCACTTTGTGTTGATCGGGTTTGGTGTAATGTCAGATTTTAACATTTTATTCTATTACACATATCATTTTGTATCACGGGTATTGCACACCTCTCCTCCATCTAATGCATTTAGGTGATATGTCTGTAAATTATTATTTTCTTTCATCTTCAATTATTCCTTATATTTATTCTATAATTTTTAATACCCGTGGCATATTGTTTTAGTGCATTATATAAGATATTCAATGTTTTATAAAGATTTTGCATTACATATATAAATAAATGATTTAAAAATCATTGCCAATTAGCTCAAGTGGTAGAGCGGTATGCATTTGCATACAGATGTAGGTTCGAATCCCTCATTGGCACTTTTTGCTATTGAAATTAAAGAAATATTTTTTATTACTCAGAGACTAACATCAAACAAATATGTCTCTATGTGGTTAAATGAACAGTTTTTTTCCTGTAAATTTACTTTTTTTAGAGGTTATCTCTACATTTTGAAGATTTACTTTTCATTATGGTGCATTAGTTCTGAACGGTATGTAACATGTTCAAGATTATGTGCAATACGTATTATAAATGATGCCAATATTTTAACAATTTTTTCTTTACGTTTTTGGCCTAGGATATCACACAAATCTATCACTAAACTGCATGTAAAGTTTCTTTTATAGTCTTTTTATCTCTTGTTATGGTATACGAAGTATTTCTTAGTGTAATCATTCAAAATCTAGACTTTGGAATGATAATATTCACATAGTGCACTGCAATAATTTATTATTCGCACAGTTCAGCATACACATGTCCATTGTACGATGCATTTACAACAACTCTAGATGCATCAATGACTTGTCTAGAACCATCAACGTCACCAGTGAAAGCAACATTAGTTTCCAATTGGCAATAGCGAAAAAAGTGGATTCTCTTTTGACCACGTTTGATTAGAAAATTTAAAATTACATGCATGCCCTTCACAATCAATTCATCCCTGATTTCATGGGATGCAATCAATAATTTCCTTTTTAAATTGAGTAAATTCTATAATTGGTCCTTTTTAACATGGGGGTTTCCCTATTTAATCCTCTATTATCAAATATTACTCAAGTGGTCCTTCTTTTATGGGTACCTTTCCACAAATAGTCCTTTTTTGATCTTCTATCAGGTTGGTGTTAATTTGAGGGCTAAAAGTGTAATTTCACAATGATAATATATCTTTTTGTCATACACAATTTCAAAGGCTGTTCCGTTTGCGTCGTTTGTGAATTACAATCGCTTTTTACGACAACTATAGTCTTAAAATGTGATCTTTCTTCAGAATCTTAGCCCACAATCATAGTCATTATTTTTGTGTTATCCGCTTAACCAATATTAGAACACGTCACTAGACATAATGTTGACGTCAAATTATATTTTTAGCCTTTAAATTAACACCAACACGGCAGAAGATCAAAAAAAGGACCATTTGTGAAAAGGTACCCTTAAAAAAAGGACTACGGGGGTAATATTTGATAATAGAGGACTAAATATGGAAACCCCCCTATTATAAAGGACCAATTATGGAATTTACTCTTTTAAATTTTAGGGAGTAATGGCTTGGTCTATAATTAATAGCCACACGATCCATCCAATCCAATGTTTATTGTTCATTCTTATTCATTCTTTTATATATGTGTGTGTGTGTGAACAGTAACCTCCAAAAGTAGATGATGCAACATGTATTTTAGATGTCGAGCTAAAATACACATTACCCCTTGGATTTGATGAAATGCTATAAAATCATCTATAAATAAACTCTATTTTTACCTTTTATAGCTCTTCCCTTAGATTATGACTAGACCTGGCAAAACAGAACCGGAACCGATTACCCGAACCGAAATATCCGAAACCGAAACCGAAATGACCCGAAAAATGAAGATCTGATCTATAACCGAAAACCCGAAATGATCCGAATCGAACCGAAACCGAACTAAATAATTCATATCCGATTTAAATCCGAAACTGATTAGATCCGAAATCGATAATATCCGAACCGATTAAACCCGAAACCGATTAGATCTGAAACCGATAATACGCGAAACCGATAAACTCGAAACCGATTAGATCCGAAACCGATTATATCCGAAACCGATTAGAACCTACATCGAAAAATTTGGAACTATGTTTTCCTTTCAATAAGTATATTAAATTTTTAAATTTTTACTTTTATTTTACCATTTGAACTAATTATATTACTTGCTCATTCCCTCATAAAATGGATAACCATGTTTTAGAAATATTACAATAAATAGAGCAAATGAGCAATAAAATAGAGATAATGTAAAACACATGAAAATTACTTTTTCCAAATCTAAGCATACATGCGATAAAATAAAGCAAACCAGTAATAAAATAGAGATGAGAATCTTGCTAAACACCAAAAAGTAGTCATCTAGTGATAATTAAAATATATAGTATTCAATAGTCATGATCCAAAAGTGGAAATATAATGCAAACGTCCATAGATGGTAGAATTGCTGGTAGCCTTTGATAAATGGTCATTGGGAATATCTATAGTAGCTGCTGATTGGGACGAGTCTTTCAATAACCTGAAAATTACACAAACTCCATTATCAATGTTCAGGTTACCAAAAATCTAGAGAGCAAAACAAGAATGCATTCCAGAACAAAAATAAAAATGCAAAACAGTGAGCAAAACAGAAATGCATCGTGTCATGGGGGTACTTGCACTCCAATCTACGTCAACAGACAGTGAGCAAAACATACCTTTATACTTCAAATTGAGGTACTTGCATTCCAATCGACGTCAACACCAAAGAAGTCATCTTCCGCATTTTCTACCCATCACAAAGTACACATTATGTTAGCTTATATCAATTAGTTAAAAAGAATTATAAAACTAAACATACCTTCATATCCATACAACCAACTACGTGCCATAATCAAGGCCTCGACATTCTCAGGTAGATAAGAACTTCTCCATTTGTTCAAGACCCTACCTCCTATGCTAAATGTTGACTCTGAAGCCACAGTTGTCAAAGGGACAGTTAAAATGTCTCTGGCTAAGTAACATAGCTGTCCGTATCGAGACTCATTCCTTCTCCAGAAGTCTAGTATATCAAAGTCTGGTGTTTGTGCCTCTTTAGGATCGTGCAAATAAGTGTCCAGCTTTGTCTTTGTATTATTTGCTATCAAAGTTTGTTCATTTTCATAATCCTTGAAAGAAGTAAGATAGAGATATAATGTAAGATGCTATTTCAATAACAAAAATATAATTATGGAATTATACTGGAAGACAAATTGAGAAAAGGATAACTTACAGCAAGAAAATCATATCTACTCTTGCGCTTTCTTGAAATGTTCAGTGATGTGTTGTTTGAAATTTGTGATGATTGACAAGTGTTAGTCCACTCGATCGAATATATCCGAAACCGAAATATATCCGAACCGAACTAGACCCGAAACCGAAATATCTCCGACTCAAATTGTATCCGAACCGAAATCTATCTGAACCGATTTATAACCGAACCGTATCTGAACCGACTCGAAACCGAACCGAACCGAAAAATGTATAGAACCGAAATCAAATCCGAACCGAAATTTAACCGAACCGAACCGATTATAACATATAACCGAAAGATATCCGAACCGAAAAAATCCAACTCGAAACCGATCCGGTTGATCCGATTGCCACCTCTAATTATGACTTTGTTTGGTATTAAAAGTTCTCCATTACCATTAGTGCTTTAAATAAAATCTTAATAGAGTAAATTTACTTTGAAAACACTAAAACTAAATGATACTATTATTAGATTTTTTTTTAAATGCTAACTCCAACTTCTAACGTTATTTCCAAACATGCTTTATATTCTCTTTGTCTCTAAACATCAATCATGTTTTCCTTTTTTAGCGGTTTCAAAAAAAAGTCACATTCTGTTTTAAGGAAAGAAATAAGTAATTTGCATTCTTTATCTTTTTTTATAAACTTTTATCATACAGGACAATTTTTTAGGATAAAAAAAGTATGTAAATTTGGATAGCATGGTTCTTTTGATATTTATTTCCAATGTCTTAAGACATCGAGCACACACGGTGCTCTACGCATTGGAAACGCTATCGCGGATTGCCGTCCTCATATCTTTGCTAAAGAAATTGTAATATTGTTAATGACTAGAGGGGACAAACCAATCACAGTTGGTTGTCGAAAGATAATTGTGCCACCACACAAATCGGGAGGATATTTTGGGCGGAGGGGGAAACTACTTTGGGGTCGAACAGAAAATCGGAAGTCTCAAATTGCCAGTCTTATATCATGACACTACACTCAAGTAACAAAAGAATTGCTCCGACACCATCTTTTCATAAACATGCATATTTTACAAGACAGAAAACTTGCATCAAACAGAGATTTCCTAGTTTCTAACAATATAAACAAAAAGGCAAGGGCATACATAATAAGCCATAGAAACATATACTTGCCATTTGAAGGAAAGCTATACTCGGTATATGTCAAGTGAAGTTTAATTCTTGAATATAGATCAGGGGCAGTTTATGATATCCTTTCTTCCTCAAGCAGTGCATAAGGATCAATATATTTGGATGGAGTGCTATGGGTGGTATTGGCCTCGTGGATAAATGTGGGTCCGAAATACTGTTATTGAAAATGAAAACATCCATGTTAACCGAGCGGACACAGGGGGTCAATGAGGGGAAGGGAAAATGAGATTTTATGTTGCAGGGAAATGGTAGAAAAGAGATATGTGGTATGCATATTAAATTACATATCATAACACAGAACTTACCAGGTACAAAGCAGAGAAAAATGCAATGATTAGTAAGATCAATGGCATTAATCCCAAAAAGAATGTCCCTCCAAGGGTAAGCAAAAGCTTAGCACGCGGAATTAGGCCCTGAAGAAAGTAGAATGGAAGATTAAAAAACAAAAACTGCAGCCCACCCACATGATATATAACTCTCCAACACATGTAATGCACGAACCTATTTTATTTCCTCTCGGCCTTATATATTCAAAAAAGAAAGGACCTTAAAGAGGCACAACCGCCAAGCACCCAAGTCCCACCAAGCCGGGTAAGTAAGAGAAAAAAAACCGAAAGAAAATTAATACTCCATCCCAAAATAAGGTTGCACATTTTAATTCACACATTTACTGTAAAAGATATTATGTGGTTGAGATTTACGCAAAGGAGAGAAATACCGAGTAATATATATGAACCACACAATTCTTCTGGAAAGGATAAGTGAAACGTTATTTCAGGACATTCCAAAGAGAAAATTTGAAGTTTCTTAATGGGATAGAGGGAAAAGATAATGACAACACCCCCCACCTCACGCACAAAAATAGGGCGAATCCAAGAGACTAAAACTAGTCTATGCAAGATGGTAACAAAAAGAACCCTTCAACATAGCGAGTCACTAAGAAGAACAAGCCACACAAACCAACCAACTCAGTTCTTTATGTTAGCTCTTGAGCTATCTTATATACAGAGAAAATTATATGCTCTAAGTCTAAAAAGTACCTCAAATAGCATGCATAAATGATGTCCTTTGTAGAGCACTAAAGCATTTGCACACAATTGACAGAAAAGTTCATGGGAAGTGATATTTACTTGAACTGTTGAGTAAATCCAATGAACTAAACAGAATTGTCAAAAAGAGAAAGAAGATGATAAATGCAAACCTCAATGCCTTCACTATTCAGAACCATAGACTGCTCTCTCTGATTATATAAACTGCTTCCAGATTCCATTGAGATAGCATTTTTACGAGACGAGTCTCTGTCTTCTTCCTTGAATTTCATGTCATCCTCATATACTCTTTTTTTGCTTTCTTCAAGTAATGAAGTATGATTCATGCCTCGTCTCTTCAATTCTTTCATGAACAATGACTCAGGAGGCTCTTCACCTGAGCACAATACTTCAACTGTGGATTTTGAAATGTCCAAGGCAAAATATAACTATAGAAGCCTACGAAAATATTTCTCACTTTTTTTAAAGGAAAAAATTGGTGATTCTTATTTTTTCTACTTCTTAAAATTAAACCTCAACCACACACTTCCAACTTCTTAATCTATGTTCTTGATCAAATAGGAAAACCCCAACATGATGGAGGGAGTATTACCCAAAATGAAAACATAGATGCATTGGTGTTGGAAGTTTGAACATCTTTTAGCTACTTCTGCTTCTTACTCAATTCTACCATATTTAGCTAACAAAGGGGGCCTTAAACACAAACAAGCATGTACTGGATTACCAAAAAAGCCGGAACCTAAGCACGAGTAGCTAACTTATATAGTCAATTTTACTATTAAAAAAAGGATAATAAGATGAAGAATTTACTTAAATAACACTAAAACATAATGACTTTGCCTAAATATCATTACATGTGTTTTTTCCCCAATGTAGCACTTTTAGTCATTATTCCTTAGTCATTATTAAAGTAAATATTCGTCATCACTGTTTTATTCAGGGAATAAAACAGTTTAAGTGCTATTTAAGGAAATGACTTATGTTTTAGTGCAAATATTTCTAATATAAGAATCAATAACTAAATTACAAAGAAAATTAAAAGTAAAATGAAAAAATAACGATTGGGAATCATACTCTACTTTACTTTACCTTCGCTTGGAGTGCGATTGTCCTGAAGTTTACAGGAAACCCTAAGCTTCGGATCAATCAATAATCTGAAGCTCCGATTAAGCTTTAACTGGAAACGGAAATTTCTTCTCCATCTCCGATAATCCATGACCCCATAGCCTAAACCCGAGCAATCAGAAGCCAAATTTGAATGAGAAGAGAACTGGAAAATCGATAAGGAAGACAAAGCATGTTTCGACGGAAGGTGAGCCATTGTTCAGAAAATCTTTCTCCGAAATAGTAGGAAGTTGGATCTGGATATCGTTAACCAGAAGCAGGGAGAGGGCGAGAAGAATGAGAAGCAAGCTTTTCCAGAGGGAACAGAGAGGACGAGGAGGGGGGAATATGTGGGACCCGATACTTTTGTTATGGTCAGGTCATCGACCACGTAGTTTGGCAAAATGTGATGTGGCAGTTCTGGTTGCCAAAATCAAAATTTCTACTCTGTCGGCTTGGACCGTGCTACACATCCCTCACCCTTGCTACCAACCTTGTCTCTATTCATTCTCCACTCATCCTCTAATTTTAATTTTCTTGCCTCCCTACCACATGTTTATGTAAGGGGGCATGGTTGGTAGCAAGGGTGGGGTTTTTAGCATTTTCCTAGTTTATTTCACCAACATCCTATAGTTATCGTTTGGTAAAAGTACATTGTTATCCTTTCATCGTTTTAAAATTTATGTTGTTGTCCTTCATGATTTTGATATTGTTATGTCAATGTCTTTCTGGACAAAATATCCTTCAAATATTAAGTGAAAAACTCTATTGCCACCTATCATTTTATAAATGAATGCCAACATCTCCTCTCTTTTTTTATTGTTTTTCTTTTCTCTTTTTTTCATAAAAAAAATATTTGTGTGTGAAATAGTGAAAAATTATTTTTTCAAACCTACATTTTTAAAAAGTTTTTAAAAATAAAACATGTTTGTAATTGAAATAAAATATTTAACTTATAATTCATTTGTCAAATTAAAAATTTTTGTTTCTTGTCTAAAAAAGTTTTTATTTTTTTGAATATTTAGGGACTAAAAGAATAATGAATAACGTCTTTTTAATATATAGTTAATTATATATAAATAATATTTTTTGGACCAATGTGCAAAAGGTTTTTTTCATGACTTAATTTTCCATATTCTATAAAAGTATTTTTTAATATACCTTTATTTTTCTTTTTTTTCTTTTCTATTCTTTTTTTCTTTTATTTAAATTTTGATTAAAATAAAAGAAACGATATAAAATTAACTAACAGAAAATGAAAAGTGAGCTTTAGTAAAAAAGAGAATATTTCATTGATTTTCGTATCATGAAAATGAACCGATAAAGATATCATTTGGACAAAAAATGAAAAAGTTTAATTTGAGACAAATGAAGTGTACATTAATTCATGTTATTTAATTGATTTTTATTCCAACCAAAAAAAATTGATTATTAAAGCATTATAAAAAATAATTTTAAAAAAGAAAAAAACATTTACGAAAAAAATAATAGAAAAAAGAGAACAATAAAGAAAAGAGGGGGTGTTTGTCCAAATTTCCAAAACTGTAGGGGCAGTGAAGCTATTCACATAATATTTGAAAAATACTTTAGTCTAAAGTGGCATTGGCGTAGCAATATCAGAATTGTGAGAGACAATGACGTAAGTTTTGAAACTATTAAGGATAATGGTGTAGATTTACCAAACCACAGTGTCATGGTGCAATAAACTCTCTGTCCCCCTCAAAAACATATATTCCCTTTAGAGCATCACTACTCATTCTTCTTTATTCCTCTACCACACCATCTACTTTTAATATTACATCACTTACCTATTCAATTTCATTACCCTTCTCTAATCATTTCCCTACCTTTTTTAATATTTTTTTCCACGTGTCATCTCTTCATTTGTACAAAAAAAATTAAAAAAATAATTGGCCAATAAATTTTTTCTCTCTCCAAGAAAGTAATATTCTCCCCTCCTCCTCTCTCTCCTTTATTTCATGCCCCTTTCTAATCATTCTTCTCTCTTTTCTCTTCCACATCATCTTATTTCCCCATTCATTCCTTTCCATTAGTAAGAGCACCAGAAATACACAACGCCGGGCTCCGTTATGGCGCGTTTAATGCCTACCCGGCATTAAACACCACTCCCCTTTACCGTTAAAGGGCGTCACCCCTGTTGCGTTAAGCGTTTAACGCGGAGAAAAGAGAGGGAGAGAGCCGTTGAGGCCCAAACCGCTATAATGCCGTTGGGGAATGTTAAAAAAAGATTTTTTATTATTTTCAATACTATAAATACCCCCTATTTTTAATACAACAAACACACACACTCTATTCTCATTCTCTCCATATTTCTTCCAAAATATATTTTATTTTTTAATTTTCTCTGCAAAATATTTGAGAAATTGGATCATCTTCATCTGACGATGAAAAGAGAGCTCTCTATTTTTGTAGTTTCGCGACGGGTTGTTATCAATGGTGGCAACAAGCCCAACGAGAAGAAGCAGAACCCTCCTGATGCCGACGCTCGACCCGATGTGAGCGTTTAAACCATGATTGGCGGTTGCACACGCTTCATTACTCAATGACTACTTCAACTCGTGCTTTACACACCAGAGGATTTTAGTAATCGTTTCAAGATAAGCCATTCTCTTTTTTTACGGATACTGGCTGATACTGAACCTGAGTTGCCTTAGTTCACCCAACGCTTTGATGCGAGAGGGCGGCACAGTTTTAGCAGCGTTCAGGAAGTGCGCCACCGCGCTTCGTCAGATGGCATATGGGACAACATCTTATATGTTCGGCAAATCCTTGAAGATGTTGGCTCGTAGCATCAGGCCATGTGTTTATAAATTTTCTAAAGCTATTATTCGACTTTATCATAAAAGGTATTTACGTAATCTGACAACGAACGACATTGAGCAGTTAGAGGCTAAGCATGTCGCTAAACAAGACTTTGTCAGCATGCTAGGAGCATCTATTGCACGTATTGGGAATGGAAAAAATATCCCACTGCGTGGCATGGTCAATTCTCCTAGAGAATGGAAAAATTATCCCACACGACTTTGTCGATTTTTTTATTTTTGTTGTTATTATTCAAATCTAATTTTTTTAGTGTACTTTTTATTGAATATTTTTTTATTTAATGAATTATTGTCTTTTAAATCTAATTAAATAATAAAATTTTATTAATTTAGTTTTAGAAGATGTGTATTTGAAAATATAAAAAATGGAGGTTTGAAGCCCCAAAGCTTCAAACCCATTTCCAGATAAATTTTGGTGCAAGTTAAAGCTGATGTGCCAGAGAGAGAAGGTTTGAAGCCCCGGGGCTTCATACGTATTACGAGTGCCTAATGCTCTTATTTTCTTTTTCGATCGTCTTAAACTAATCTTCTAGTTTCTTTTTTTGAAAAGTTTTTTGTGACTAGCTTTTTTTCTTTTCACTGCATTACTTTCAATCATACTATTTTACTTTTTCTTAAATTTTGTATAAAGCACTGTAAGTATTTATTTAGGACGGGGAGAGTATTAGGAAAAGGGCACCTCCACCTTGTATTCAAACTACCCAGTGTAACTATTCGTCTATTCAATAGTGTTCTATCATCTCAAAATTATTTAGATTTGGTTGCGGTACCTTACTCAAGTATTCAATATGTTTTTTTCATAAAAAATGTATTTCATTAATTAAAAATAAAATATAATTAAAATATTTTTTATTAAAGTCAAAATTAAAATATTTTTAAAATTAAAATAATGGCCTAAAATGTACACACAAAAAATTAAAAGAAAAGGGTTGAGCTTCGAGTAGAGCCGGGTAAAAGAATCCGAAATATTCAAAGTGCTCGGATAGATGGGGGTGGTGTACCCCTGCTCTTCGGAACTACTCGAAACTACTCAGATGGATTCAAGTAAGGCGCCCCCTATCCCCTTATAATTTGACTTTATTAGGCAAATTCTACTATACTTCAGTATATAAAACCTTAATTTTATGGTAGGGATTACAATATTTTTATTAAAATACTATATATAACTTCTTATTACTCCCTCTATCCTAAAACTATCTTCCCAGTTACTATTCACACGGTCAAACATAAATAATCACTTTCTTTACCTATTTTCGTTAGTTATTTGATAAAATAATATAATTTTGTCACCTCTTGTTTTGTAGCACTTTTGATGTAGTTTTTAAATATATAAATCTTATTTTTAAATTTTACACCTACAATCAAATAAATTGAATTGAAAATAAAGTCGGTCAAACCTCGTAAACACAAACGGGAAAATACTTTTAGGACGGAGGGAGTATAATACTATTATTACTATATATAATTTCTTATGTTAATTACAACTCTTTCCATCCTAAAATGGATATTATTGTTACTATTATGGTCTCCCGAAAATTTTTATTTGTATGTTTTCATTAATAATTTGATAACATAATTATATATATGTTTTATACAATTTTTCATGTACTTTTAAATGGTTTAATGTATATATCCCTCCGTCCCAATTTATATTATCTATTTCGGTTTACGATATTTGACTAAAATTATTTTCAAATTATTTTATATGAAAAATGGTGTAGAATAAAAAAAATAAAAATTACATATTACAACATTACATCAAAATATTTACAAACCTAGTACTGACATGACTACTTTATTTTATCAAATAACTATCGAAAAAAGAGAAAGAAAGTGAATGAAGTTTGACCTACTGAATAGTAAACATGCAATTTAATTTGGGACGGAGGGAGTACTTTTTAATTTTGGAAAAACTATCTAAATAGTCTATCTTTTCATGTTCTTAAAAAATAATTCCACTTTTCACTGCCACCACCTACTTTTTTGTATGTGTGTGAGCTTTGGATTGCTTTTAACAAGCTGACGGCCACTTAACAGAATTTTTAAAAAATGACTATTTTCACAAATAAGTTAAAGGTGAGATTATTTTAGGCAAATTTATTTTTTTTTCATTTTAAATTTTATATTTATGTTTTTAAAAATACTACCTCCGTCCCGCTATATTCGTCTACTTTTGACTTTTGGAACTGTTCATCTAAGCACTTTGACTCATCAAATTCTCTCAATGTGTAAGCCTAAATATAGTCATGTGTGATCTTGTTTGATTTGTCTTAACATATAGATTATTAATATATAATTTCTATAATTTTTTAATATACAAATTACAAGATAAAATGGATTAAAGAAGTGCATTGGATGGTGTGTAAAAATGAAAGTGGACAAATATAGTGGGACGGAGGGAGTATAAGAGTACACTCTTGTACTGTTAAAGATTTGTCTCAATTTTATTTTAATAACGATTTAAAAATTTTGTTTTCTGTTTTAGGGGAAATTTAATAATGGGTTATCAAAATTA